GTGGCTTCCTCTCTTCTTCAACAACCAGGTCAAAGATGTTTAGGGTTTAGGGTTTAGGGTTTTAGGGTTTAGGGTTTAGGGTTTGGGGTTTTGGGTTTTGGGTTTTGGGTTTTGGGTTCGCAACTTTTTAGGGTAGACCTAATATATAAAGGGCCAAAAAGCTTAAAGCTCTCCCATTGGCTACCTAAGCTTCGTCAGAGGTGAGAAGGTGCCTCTGCATAAGGGCGCCCAGATCTTCGTCCTGATCCTAACACCCTAAAACCCTAAAACCCTAAAAACCTAAAACCCTAAACCCTAAACCCTAAATCCTAAACCCTAAATCCTAAACCCTAAGCCCAAGTCTTCGTCCTGATCCTAAAACTCTAAACCCTAAACCCTAAATCCTAAACCCTAAATCCTAAACCCTAAGAGCAAGTCTTCGTCCTGATCCCTAAACCCTAAACCCTAAGCCCAGATCTGCGTCCTGATCCTCATTTTCCATAAATGTCAGCTCAAAAGAGAGCAAGCCATAGCGCAAGATCAGGGTGCGCAGCTTTCGCCATTCTGGGCCAGGAAAGAATGAGCCGGTCAGGACGCAGAGGTCACCCACTGCTCCCCACATTCCACCAATTCCATCGTATCGCATGCTCCACCATCTCGCCATAACGGTAGAGACGTAGAAGCCCAGCAAAACTCCGATCAAGGATGTCAGGAAAGTGCCCATCTTGTCCAGATCTTCGAGCCAGTCGCGCTGCACGGGCTCTACGTCAAAAACCCCACGCAGCCCGATGTGGATCAAGCTAGTCACGGCCGACATCAGGACACAGACCCGCATGTGGTGCAGAATCTGTATGTTGGACAAGAGGGTGTGTTGGAACATGAAACAAACCCTGAAAGACAGAGAGCGGTCTGCATTGTATTTCAACATGTGCCCGCCCGGAGCGTAGGTAAAGATTTCATCCAATTCGCACTGGGGGAAAATCACGGTGTTTCCCAAGAAGCCTTCCTCTTCCTTTTCCGTCCGATCCACAGACTCGCGGTGCTGGAAGTTGAGATTCTGGAGAAATGCGCAATGCTCCTCTTCCCGTCGCGCCTGGTGGCTGCGAGAGGCCCGAATGCCAAATGAAAGCAGCGCCAGGGTGCCCAGATACATTCCTGCGACCCACCAGATACGCTGAACTTCGAGATGAGATATACCCATGTTCACGGCTCAGCTAGGGTCTCATGAGAGCCAAGACCTTGCAGACATGACAAGATGCTTAGGGGCTGAGTACCCTAGCCCCAAAAAGGTTAACCTTTTGAATTCTAGTAGGATTTTAAGAGCCCCAAAAGGTTAAAGGTTACCTACTCAGCCACTAAGGATGTGAAGCCCTGGGGCAAGGTCGAACCTCTAACCAGAAGTCACCATCAGCAGAGGCACAGCTTGTGCAGGGTAACCCCGAATGCCACTGCTGACACCCTCTGAAGCGCGCGTACACTGTATACAAACCCCCAAACCCTGCAATAGAGGAGCCCTAAAAATCCCTTTATAGGAGCATTTTTTTAATTAGAATAGGGCTCTATAAGGATCTATATGGTGTCCAAGCTCAAAAACTCTATTAAGGAACCTAAGGACTTAGATTTTTGGAAAAACAAAACTTCAACCTTCTATACGATGTAAACGCAAGAAGTCGGCAGTCAACCCCCACTCTGGGCCGGGGACCCAAAGGTAATCCCGAGGGCCGTTTCGTGTTTCGGGTTTAGGGATTACTTGGAGGTTCATGGGTAGTTATAAATAGGGTTATAGGTAGGATAACTATACATATAACCCATAGTAGGGGACTTATAACCCTACTTATAACTGCCCATGAATCTCCAAGTAGAATAGGCTTCAATAAACGAGCTCCTTTCAAGGGCTCCTGTAAGACTTAAGGGTATCGTTGAGGGTATCGGTAAGGGCTGTTGTATGCCTTTAGTCTAGGGTCAAGAGCCATTAGAACAGGGTTTAGGTGTCGATCGTAGTATAAGTTGTCATAAGGAACCCTGTTGTGTAATCTCGCTAGTTTGTTCAGCCCCCTAAACCCTGCAAGCCCCTACAAACCCTAAACCCTAAACCCTACAAACCCTGAACTCTGGACACCAGGATCCTTATCGCAAGCCGCTGGTCGAGGCCACTTTAAAGTAATGGAGTTGTTAGCCAAGGGTCTGCATTCCCCCCTCCATCAAGCAATGTAGGGGCCTTACTAATTAGAACAGGGCTTTGGGGTACATTACACGATAACGAAGATAAGGAACCCACCGCAAAAAACACAAAGTATAGGTAATTATTCAGGCCCCATCAAGTACCCCGAATCCTCTGAAGGAGCATGCTACCTGTAGCAAGCAAGCTGGCTGTGTGGGGTTCCTTGCCAGCTTCGGCGGAGAGTAGCTGCTTTAACTTTATCATGGAGCCCTAGCCTCGCGCCCAAAACCTGAAAGCCCAAATCCTTAACAAGAAGAGCCCAGGTGTTCGGCTTTAGAGTGCCAAGAATGATCGGAACTCCACATCCCTAAGCCACCAGTCTTGACGCCAGAAATTAGAAGCATTACTCCTCACCCAGTAATTCTTGGACACCCGGTGCACCCTCAATGCTTTCTATGAATTTGAAGGGAACACAGATTGGAAGGTGACAACACAAGGTCTGGCAAGGCCGTCCCTCACACAGGCAGGCGTACGGACTCAAGCCACAACCCTTCAACTTTGCCTCTATGAACCTTAAACCCAACAAGCCAATACTCCAAAACAACTCAACCCCGAAACCTTGAACCCCCAACCCCTCTTACATCCCTTAGTGAAGCCTGAACTTTCAACCCGGGGTCCTGTGGGCAAAGAACGAAATCCGGAGCACTTCCCGTTGACTTTGAACGGCGAATGTGCTCGATGATAGCGGCCTAGAAGCAGTTGCTTGTTTGTTCTTTTCTGTTGGTGGGGGACAGGGGGCCAAGGGAGGGGGGGGGGGAGAATTCGGCAGATCTTGACGGATTTCTGAGGTTTTGAATGTTGCTTTTTGAAAACTTGGGTGTTAAAAAGATTTAAGGCTTGCGATGTCAGGATTTCAGATGAGCCGCCGTGCCAGAAAACCTGATTAATGTCGCGAAGTCGGGAAGCTTTCTGAGATTGGGTTTAGGTTTTCAGGTTTAGAGTTTAAAGTTTAGAGGATCATGGTGTTTGGGTTTTAGAGTTCAGGGTTAGCTGGCTATCTCTACTCTCATCTCCGCAACCTCCCGCTGATTGTCGGGTTCTGGCACACACCCCAAATTAAAAAACGTTTTGCCACCTGGACGCTGAGCGCGAACTCCTTTGGGGATCGTTGCTGTAATTTGTTCAATACAGGGGTCATGGAATTGCTAGTAGTCCACTTGAATTCATACTCTACTACGCTTGACGAAATCAGTCCTGCATTATCCATTTTTCAGGATTTCACCATAGTTCCCATAGGTTAGGGTTCTTAAGGTAATGCAGGGTTTTTTCATCATCAACAGTCTTGTCCGAAAGCCCTGCTTGCTCCTGCTGTAGCCTTGAAACTAATGAAACGGTTCAAGTCCTTACCTGGCGAGCCTAGTTTCCGATTCGTATACTACGCCGCTGTAGGAATCAGCTGGGCACCAGGCCGACCCGAAACCCCAGATCTGTAGCCCCAAATTAGGAAGCAAACCTTCAGGTCTGGACCCTAAACCCTAAACCCCTAAACACTAAAAGCTAGGAAGGAAGGACCACGAGCCCGGATTCGAGCTATTCAGGAACCCCGTGTTCTTGCTGAAATGTTCTACTCAGGACTTTAGGTCCAGAGCTGATGTGTAGTTCAGCCGTGTAGGATGAAACTTTGTGCTGAGCAATTCACGGTGTATGACAGCCTAGACCCTAAACCCTAAGCAATGCTGGATTAATTCACCCCCTAAACCCTAAACCCACGGTGCATGACAGATTGAAACTTTAGGGTCTAGGGCTTAGGGTTTAGGAACTTGGATCGAAGGCTCTTAGCGCGCCGCTAACCTGGAATTCACTCGCAAGCTCCTGAACACCAGACCCTAATCCTCAAACTTAAACCCTTGTATGTACTATATATATATATATATCTCTCTCTCTCTCTCTCTCTCTCTATATATATATATATATATATATTTACATATCGAAAACATACTACATATGTATATATATATATATATATCTATATATACATACATATGTAGGAGAGAACAAGTCTGCTCGGTCGTTGTCCTGCATTTGCAAGCGAGCCCGCTTCTAGCTCGTTATCTGTAGAGGAACACCTTCAGGCCGAATTCCACAGGTTTTTGCTTTCGCATCATCTGGGAGTTTCCGAAAACTAGGGTATCCTAGTTGGGCGTCCTTATAATTATTGAAAGAACTCC